TTGTTGTTGAAGTAAGAAAGAGTTTACAAGATGACAAGCATAAAAGAGTTGTTTTCAGATTGAGTAAACATGTTGAAACCAAGTTTGAATAAAGGTTGAATTAGTAGAGGTAAGTAATTGAAGGTCATATTGTGACTGTTTGTTAATTAGAAAGATGTTTTGAATGATATAAGAGGTATTGGGATGTTGGGTAAGTTTTTTAATAAGTTTAATAATGTGAACATGTTTTTTAAGAGATAGATGTAATTGGATACTGTAAGATGAGTATTGATAGTTGTAGCTATGTTTGTGAAAGACTTTTTAGGAATAGTATAGATAGCAGAGTAAATAATAGAGCATTGAATTTTGTGCCAAGTAGTTTCAATACTCTTATGAGTTTCATTGTTGATAGAAGTTTTGTGTAATAGAAGTTGTTGAAATAAGGTATCTGCAAAGGATTTCTAGTCCTTTGTAGACATGGCTTTGTAGTTGAAAATATGATGATTAATTCCAGTATGTTTATGTAAGGGTTTGCTATAAGTATGTGGAAATGTTCAGATAGAGGAAAGGATTAAATAATTACTAGAGATAGAAGTTTGGTTATTATTAAGACTGTAAGAAAGAAGAAATTGTATATTGAATTGGTTAGTCCAGATATAGTCAATACAACTACTGCTAGTATTGTTAAACCAGATAGAATGTTTGTTGTTAAAGTAAGCTCCAATATTATACATATTAAAATTGTTAAGAAAGTTAATAAGTTTGTATTTAGAAGAGGAGCTATGAGTGTTGTCCTGTGTATTAAAGTCACCAAGAATAATAGGATGGATATGAAGTTAAGAAGCTTTAGTTAATTACTTTGTTTTGGGTTTGGTTGCGAATATAAGTATCAGTTAATACCAAATATACTGAAATGATGCAAAACTTAATATTATTTCAAAAGAAAATATCAAGTACTATAGCACCTCTAGGATGAGTATAAACACTGTAAATATAAGGTTTAAGATGATTGCAAATTATAATAGCAATGCCGTTTATAGAGGTGAGAAAGTTAGACCAGTAGTAAATAAAAAAGTTATTATTGCAGAAAAAGAGGTTAGATTTGTCAGAAATTTTTGTTTCTGTGATGCTTGCAATGAATATATTATGATTAATGCAATAATCCTGTCATGCTTCTCTCTTGATAGAATCATTAAAGCTTCTAATATTGTATATAGCAATAATTAGATCGAGATAATGAAAAGTTGAATTTGATAAAGGTGAGAAAGAGTTACAATTAGAAGTTGAAGAATGATTATCAAAAAATAAATCAGATAGAATAGAAGTAACATTAAAGAGATTAGATCTAAGAAGAAGATTATAGAATATAGGAAGAAGATATGGAGTAATTATAATATGATCTGGTAAAAGAGTGTCATTAGGAAGATATATATGAGTTTCATTATAAAATGAGTTAACAGAAAATGTAATACAGAATACTGTTTTGTTGTTATTATATTTATCAATATGTGAATTAAAGTTTAAATGGTTTGACTATGGAAGAAGAGTAATAGATTATAATAAAAAAGAAATTTGTTAAGACATGTATGAAGAATATAAAAGATTAAAGATATTGTAAATGATCTTTCAAAATTGTCTTCTACAGAGTCAATCACCATATACTCAGCTCTTACAGCTGTCAAGATACCATAGTCTGCTCTGTGCATTGGGTCTGACTATTATTATCCTAGTCTTTCATATAAATAGGCTTGTCCATCTGCCTACTTATTTCATTTTTCATATTAACTACAGTGGTTGTTTTTTTTAATAAGATGGTAGCTGCTTCAATGTTAGTTACAGAAGACAAAGAACTTAAAAAGAAGATTATAAGAAAAGTAAGTTAAAGATAGAGACTGGTTGAAAGTTAAGATTGAATTTTTTTGCTAAAAACTTCTCTGCTGCAAGATAGGCAGTGTCATTAAAATATTTGACAATTTGTAAATAAATAGATTTTTGATTTTTGACAACATCAAAGTAGGTAATGATTTGGACAAAAAATTTAGTATCAATAATGTTTTTTGTTAATAAGTTAATTGCCTCTTTCTTGGAAAGAGACTGTATATTATGGTTTTCTTCTGCAGTTTGGTAATATAGTAAAAGATATCAGTAAAAATAGTAATTAGACATTTAGGATTTGTTTTAATTTTGTTTTGTTTACAAACAAAGTCTTCAACTTGATCAGCCAACTTGTCAAGAACTTTGGTAGGAATAGGTTGGTTAAGTGAGGTGCTATGTTCTTTGTTTTTGTGAAATAGTATTAAAAGTAGGATGAATCCATGTTTCATCTTCTTTAAGTGGGAATAATATACAAGATTTGTTTAATATGTTATTAAAGAGTTTAGTGTTGTCATAAAATTTTTTATCATTGAGATATTGATATAATTTGTTGTCACAAGTAAGACAATAGAAATTTGCAACACAAGATGCTTTCTTATTTTGCTCATGAAGTAAATTAGGTTTTTGAAATATATAGGATTCAGGAAAGTGCTTGGAGAGTTGAAGAATAAAGTGGTGACAGAATTGAATTTAGAGAGAAGTTTTGACTTTTTTTTTGTAAATAGTAGAAGAAAATTGTCAACTGTAAAGAAGATAGTAGGTTTTAAACCAAGAATTAAAGTAATCAAGAGAATTTTTTAGAGAGGGAATGCAGAATCTTTTGAAAAACTGTGTTTTTGAAATATTAAAAAAGAGCTTGATGTTAAATCTAGTATTTGATTGAATAGTAAGGTATTTTTGGTCAAGATTGGTAGTTTGAGTGAAAGATCCAATTTTGAATCTTTTAGGTCTAAATTTTAAATCTTTGGTAAATTTTTGATAATTGATTGATTGATAATTATTAGATAAAAAGAGATGGAGTCATGCAAGATTAAGACAGAGTTGAAGATGATTGTGAGCAATTTATGAAAGAATAGTAACTGATAAGAAAAAATTTTAAGATAGTTAGGTTTTGTAAAAAGGACAGTTATAAATTTAAGCAATAAGTTTTTAAGAGTAGATTCAAGTAAATTAAATGAAATGGTAGCATTTTTGTTAATATTGTGATTGCTACTGTAAATGAGATCAGTTAAGAATTCTGGTTATTGCCTAGTCATAATTCAAATAATATAGTAGAATAAGGCCTTGAGTATAGGTTAAATAGGAGTAGTTGGTTTAATTTCTTTACCAATATAAAAGTTATAGAGAAATTTATTGAGAAAAGTGAAAAGTTAAAGAGAGAATGTAGTTTATAATTTTTTGTTAGATTACATTTTTTCAATAATTGAAAAATTTGTAAACCAGTTATATATAGAGTTTAATTTTGGTTTAAATATACTAGAATAAGTTTGAAAAAAGGATTTATTAGAGATACTGTCAAGTTGATTAGTATTATTAGAGTTATTAAGATTTAAGTTAGAGTTATCAGAGATGTTAATAATAGAAGATTGATTAGAAATAGGATTAGTATAGGTAATTGTAACAAAGAAAGAATCAATAAGATCATATGTAGTAGAGGAAGTTTGATTTAAGAAATTAGTATTGGAGTTAGTGGTTTGGTTAGATTCCATTAAGATGTTTTGAAAAGTTTGGATAAGGTTTTTCTTAGTTTAGTATAAACTAGTTTTATGCTAAGATGAGGCAGTTATACAGGTAAAATAATAGACTTTGTTGTTTTTAGTAACATATTTTTTATTAGAATAATGATACTTATTTCTCTTAATATAATCAATTGGAACAAAGCATTTTGAACAAATATGGTAATATATGTCAGGTGTAGAAAATAGAGAATACTGTTGATAGAAGAAGAGATGTCAGATATAAGATTTTGGCTTTTTTGTTGAGTTTTTTGGAATTGTTATTAATATGAGGGGTAGTAAAATCAGTAGCTTGAATATAATTGGTAATAGTAGATAAGATAAATTTAGTATGATATTTGTCACAGAGATAAGTAATCACAAAGGTAGAAGAGAGAGCTTGAAAAAAATATGTAATCTTATATGATCTAAGATTTTTTGTTAAATAGAAAGTTGGTTGAATTTTAGAAGAAATTGGATAAGCTTTGTTACCTTGTTTTTTTTTATAAAGAGTGATTCTAAAACTGTTAGAGAAGTTTTGATAAAAGTAATTAAGGTCTGCAGTATCAGGCTCTTGATAAGTTAATGTAGGTATTTTTCAGTTTACAGATTAGATAAGGAGAAAGACAAAGAGAATTAAGACTTAGAGAATTGCTAAATAACAAATATGATTGTAAGTGTTAATTTTGCAAAGATAGTAGATAAAAACAAGAGTTGTATTGTGAAGGTATTACTGGAGTAATATTAGAGTATAACTAGAATAGTTAGGCTCATAACTATGACTCAGATACTGAATACAATTGTAATTTGTAATACAAATTACTGTGTAATATAGATAAGAACCAAATATAATAATAATTGATTGTCTTAAATGAATGTCTATAAATAGGTTGGTTATAGATATTAGTGTAAATTAATAAGATATGATTTTGGAAATAATTATATAGTTATATGAAAAATATGTAAGAGAAAAAGAAGATGAGATAAGGACAAAAGGTAGAAAAAAAGTTTTGCAAGAGAGTAAAATTGAATTTAGTTGTAGTTTAACCAATATTGGGTCAAAAATCTTTATTTAGAGCTTGTTTTGACTAGGTGACTATGTACTATAACTTTAATTAAAGTATATAACAGGTTAAGATAATATAAACTGCAAAATGATTAAAAGTTATAAACTGAAGACCAAAGATTGTCAATACAGTTTTCTTAATAAGTTAAAATATAAAAGCTTAATATTTGCAGAATATATGTAAAATGCTAAGTTGAACAAGTTTACTTAAGAGCCCAAAACAGATTGTCATAGTAAAATAAATAGTTATAAGTATATTTAGACAAATAATTTTTTAGTTAATTTTTGTGCAATAGATTTGTAGAAAGAGTTTTTTCACTAATTTATATACTTATATCTGTTTATTTAATTTCGTATAAAATAACTTTATGTTGAATATCTTTAACAAATAGTTTTGTAGAAGTTTCACTATATCTGTCAATTTCAATTAAAGTTTCTTTTAAATACTCAAACTTGTGCTATAGATCAAGTATATGAACAATAATAACATGATCAACTATTGCACTCCAGTATTTATTAAATTTTTTTTTTATTAACTAAATTGCATTATTATGATTTCTAACTTTATTAATATATTGTGCAATTTCTAAAATCACTGTTATTGCTTCTGAAATAGAATTAGATTGAACTTTAAAAAGAATAAATATGTTAGTTTCAAATAGTTTGAGAAGTTGGCAAAATGATTTAAGTTTTATTAAATCTTTATATTCTAAATAAGATGGCATCAATAGCTCTTTTAAAAACATTTCACAGATTGCTAAATGTAAGTGCTGATATTTATTAAACATAGCCAGAATCAAATTTTAATGCATATCAATTTAAATAATAGGTCATAAAAACTTTATACCAGAAACTTGATAATATGTTTCTAATATATTTAATTAACTACTGGCTAAAGAGTTTGCTAAATACTTCTTTATTTTATGAACTTTTGTTTGCAATAAACTTATTTCTTTCAAACCTGCTTTTACAATTAGATTAAAATATAACACATGCATTCTGAAATATATTTAGTAAATAAATTAGAAAATTAAACTAAATTAAAAAAAAAACTTAAAAAAATAATTATATAATTAAAATAATAATTATAGCTATTGATATTAATTTTATATCTGGTAACTCTTTTCTAACAGACAACTAACTGACTTGCTTTTAGTAGTATTATCTATTATAAGTACAAATATTTTATTTTTAATAGAATAATTTTCTAATATATTCAATATTGTTAATATAATTTCTTTAGCTATCTGACCAAATTTTTGGAAACTTAGAACAATATTAACTATTTGTCACTCATTACTAATTTATGAACTAATAAATATAATATAATAGCATTTATGAACTGTAGAATATCATCCATTGCATATTATTAAGATTTTTCCTAAATATTTATTTAATATATTTTAATGAATTCGAATCTTTTATTAAATATATCACTAGTGAAATATTATGATACTGTTGTAGGATATGGAACTTAATATATACTAGTAACAAAGTAAAGCTTTCTTGCTATATTATGAAATAATAAATTGTTAAGAATATTAAGGACATCTTTGTTCTAATAACTAAGTTTACTGTCAAATTGTTAATATTTTTGTTAGTAATCTGTTAGAATGTTTTATCTTAAATCAAACTTGCTGAAGTGTTAGAACATGTTAAGGTATAGTTTTTAAAGTGTGTTCTACTAATATTTATTGAATACATTTTTATTTTACAATGTAAACATTGCCAAACTCTTTGATTATTATGCAATACTATCTCTTAGTAATTTTTAGTAGAATATGAACAACTCACTACTTCTGAATTAGTATTATTAATATTATTTGTGTTGAATTACTAGATATAGAATCATTCAGAGATAAGCTAATAAGTTAAAAACTCTTTCTGTAAATTCTTTTTACACAAAAATAACTAAAAATTTGTCAATAATAAAATCGCTAATGTCTGGTTATCTTATTAAGAAAACTAACTTTAGTGTCTTAAATAAACTTGTTCAGCTACTAATTTTACATATACTCTGAAAGTTTTAAGTTTATAACTTTCGAACTTGCAATTTAATACTACAAAAATGGCCTTTGGCCTTTACTATTAAATTTTTAATTATTTCTTATAAAACATCTTGTTAACCTATTTACAGTTATAAGAAAAGTTGTAAAACACTGTCTTCTGATCAAAATAAGACTAAAAAAAAACTTGTAGGTCTAAAATTGACAGAATTATAATAGAAAATAACTTTAACTTCTCTGTAGTTTATTTTTCTTTTTTTTATTTCTTTGTTCTTATTTCCAAATTTTTTCTCTAAAACATTTTTTGTGTAACTTCAAATCATTTCTAAAATTAGTTTCATTTAATTTTACATTGTGTAAATTAAATTTATCCAAAAAGAATTTATTTGTTACAAATTATTGTACTAACTTGCTAAAAACAAATTTTGCACTCAATTACATAATTGTTATTGTAATACTCAACTATTTATAAATTTGTACTATATTAGCCACACTAGCCGCACTGCCACACTAGTCACAAACTTGTGTTACCTAGGTTACAAAAGGTTACACAAGCCGCAGCAGCCGCAGTAGTCATAGTCAAACCCCTGCAAATACAAATTATACCTTGCAATTAAATTTATATTATAATTAAATTTTTAAAAAACCTTTAATCAAAGATTATAAAAAATTTTACTAAGTAATCTAAACTTCAAGTTCTAAGTAAACTCATAGCACTATGCCTACTCTTAGCACAAAAGCACCAGATACCTTAGATCTTGATTATTTCTTTAAGTATCATGCAAGCTCTTATGGCATTGCCATTTATGAAAATAAATCTGTACAAATAAGAGCTATTCTAGACAAATACAGACTTACCAAATGTATTATTATGAAACTTAGATCTCATCCACCAACTCATTTCTTTCTTGTTTTTACAACAACTGCAACAATCAAGTACATGTGTAGATTATTTTACACTAAATTCATTGCAAAAAACAATAAAATATATGAACTTATTAGCAAAACTGTTGAAACAACAACCAACAAACAAGCCAAAAAGCTCTAACAAGTACTTACAAAATCTAAATCTCAAGTTCCACCATCTTTTACAACCACTATTCATACACATATTTGTTCTAAATGCAAACTCCCATTAACTGTAAAGTGACTAATAACAATTATGCACTACAAAATGAATCTATCTTCTATCAAAATACAGCATATTACAATAATTGCTTAGATGAAATCTATAAAAAAATGACCTTAGCTAATCAATGCAAACTCCAACCTACTGAAAACCTTGAACAAGGCCTATCTTCACAATATAAACTTTTAACTAAACAGCTTATCATTTCTTTAATTAATCAAAATTTAAACAATTCTCTTGTTTCAGAACTTATACTTACTCCACCTAACTTTGAAGAAACAACTTCTATTAACAAGGATATAGATATCAACAGCTCTATTACACTACTTAAACCACAACAACAACCACAAATCCAATAAATATAACAACCACACAACAACAATCTTTACATCAAGCTTTACTACTCTTATACAAATAACAGTCTAATAAAAAACCATTCCAACAATCTTAACTGGCTCAATCTTATAGTCAAGCAACAAGACCCAAACTTAACTCATCATATAACTTCTTAGCAAACATATCAGTTACTAATAAAATGCAAAATCATATAAAATTACAAACAAAGATGTTCTGAAAACTCTTTAATTTTCTTAAAGAACATCTTCATAACTTCTATGTTAGCAAAGACATTAAAGAAGCAGTTGGAAAATGAGATATATTCAAAGTAAGCTTTTATCTATTAATTAGACAAATGGCTAATGCTAGACCTCAATTTCTTACTAACTTAATCCAATAACATAACTCTGACAATAATAAAGTTGCTATAATACTATTTACCATTTTTGAAAAAACATTCAAAAAACTTATTCTTATATTTACAACAGTTCTTTTTACTAAACTTAACTATTTAGAAATATTTGCCTCTTTAGCCATCATTCCACCTATTCAAATTCATAATTGATTACAATTTTGTATTAATTTTGCCTAACTTCACTTATATCTTTCTAATAACTATCAAGCAATTAACTACACCAAATTTGCAAAAAATATCAAACTAAGACCCAAAAGATAACATCTGAGGTCACTGAAGTTGATAAACAACATCAGTTTTTTTTTATTAAAATGGATAATTATTTTAACATTAGACTAAATTTTAACCTTTCTAAAACCTTATTTCTTCAAAAATACAACATATTATCTTTAAAAAATTTACTTGACCATTTCAATAAATGGTTTAAAAAATTTTTTCCTATATACAATTACTAATTCTCTAATACTATCAACAAAACCAAAGTCCAAAACTATCTCAAATATGAATTTAGACAACACTTTATTTCTTATTTTAAAAAGCTTCTACCTACTATCATTGAGTTCAAAAAACTAACTAGTCTTCATGAAAGATGTAATAAAACCTTTAGACATGCCAACCATCATATACTTACCTGCACAGACCCCAAATGTTCCTATCTTGAGCCAGTTCACAACTAAAGATAAGGAAAAAGAAAATAATAAAGAAAAAGAACCAGAAATTGAAAACAAATCTAACAAAACTCAAAAAACAAACTCTAAGCCACAACTTATACACAACTCAATCAAACTTATTAGAAATATATTTGACACATTATACAATACTTATCCAAAAGAAATTGAAGCTTAGAATAAACCTTTTCTTGATGCTTTAATATTCTATATCAAAAAAAAACATGAAGCTACATTTACTAAACAAATCCCTACTACAGTTTTAGATGAATTGGCAGCAAAAGTAAAAAAATATACTTGTTCTACTAATTCTGTCAGAACTAATTCAAAATGACAAGTCTTTTACTTCTAACTATCTATCAAAATACAATTGCAGAAAACCATAACATTGATAAAATGGATAAACAACAGACTATTAACTTCCTTACACCTAAACTTATCAATACTGACTTTTTTGCATGTGTCATTACATATTTTGATTGCACCTGCAATGAATCTCCTAACTATTTTGCAATAACTAAATTCTACAAAGAAAAAGCATTACCAGAAGTTAAAACAATTTTATTAAAAAATTTAACATCAAATTTGAAATACCTATATCTATTGCAGAGTCACTCTTCTTAAAACAAAAAGAACAGGCTGCTTTTCAATAAATTTGTCTTCTACAAAACCCATAAATACAGCCACCATTCTATTAAATAACACATCTACACTAATTAATAGTAAAAATAATATAAGTAGGCAGGTGGTAAAGCTTATTTACATGAAAGGCCAAGATTATAATGGTCAGACCCAATGTATAGGGCAGACTTTAGTACCTTGCATAGCAATAAGAGCTAAGCATATAGTGATTGATCTTGTAGAAAACAATCTCAGAAGATTATTCTCAACATCTCTAAGTCTCTATGATCTTCATACTTGTTTTAACAAATTCCTTCTTTATTACAACTTATTACTTCTTTCTCATGGTCAAACTATTCAATCTCTTATATAACATATTGACAAATATAATCATAATAATACTGTCTCTAGTATTACTTTTTCTGTTAGCAATACTTATAATAAAATTCATATATATCTTCCAAATGACACCCTTTTACTTAATTATACTGTTATTTATCTTTATCTTCTTCTCATCTTTTACAACCTTCTTTTTAGATCAAATCCCTCTAATTCTACTTTCATTTTACCTGATCTATTTCTAAACAGTCATACTATATCACAAGTATCCACA